TGATACTTAAAGCTGTCAAATGCCAGAAATGTTTCCTGTGCATCCCCAGATCCCTGTAATTTCAAAGATACCATGTTAACATAACATTTACTACCATGAGACCACACTACAGTTTAAAAAAGAGAGAGAAACCAGGCAGCAATGTGTTATTTTTGTATTTATAACTACACAATTATTTTAATATTTATAACTACACAAAACTACAGTTTAATACAACGAGGGATTTTGTACAAGCAGCTATCTTGAATCTGCTCTGATAATTAAAAGTGCAGGAGTTTGAACATTAAGACTACACCTTTCCACAAAAACATCAGGTTTCACAGCACAAGGCATTTGCACAGCACTTAAAGGAACACTTAAATAAGCTCAATTGTGTAAAACTTCCCTAATAAAAACCCCACCAAAAATAAACTACTTAAGAGCAAGAGAGGTTTGGGAGTGGAGGAACATGAGTCAGTAGAAGGGCTTCTAAAATGAGCAAGTGGTTTTAAAAACATGAATACAGAAAAGCTGCTCCAATGAGTAATAAATACTGAATTCCTACTCAGGAAGAAACAGCTTTGTATTTTGGGAATTGCTGAAAGAAACTAAACAGGGAACTGCCTTGGTTTTGAGTTATAAATGGGAAAATATAAATCTCTAGATAAGTTTATATGGAAATATGTATGAAATGTAATTTAATAAACCTACAGTGTAAAGATCTTAAAGAGGGCAGAGTTCAAATTCCTTTAGTGAATTATAAAAAAACCCAAGCACTTCTGGAAAAGCAAGGATATAAGATATTCTCTCACTCAAGGCACAAAAAAATCCTCTAGAAAATGAATGAAAGCTTGAAATCAAAATTAAAAGACCAAAGAAACATATCTTTATCCAGGTGACAAAAGAGAAGGAAGGAATTCTGCAGAACTGTCCTTATAAAAACATTAACAAGAGAGTGATTGTGAAAACCAAACACACACTAAGTAAAAGAACCCAGTGTTTACCCTCATCCTCTCAAACCAAACCAGAGATACCCAGGGAAGATATAGGTAAGGCATTCTACTGGAGGATTATTTTGTCATCAGTCTACAATTAAACACACACCACCCTGAGATCCAGATAAGCAACAGTGAAATAAATGTTATCTGAGAACTCTCTCCCAAACCCATTCTCAAGAGTGTGAAAGGGTCACTGGTATTACTCAGAAATAATAAGAACAGGTGCAGCTGCTCACCCACAAGCCTGGATCCAAGGCTTTGTCTGCATAGCTCCTTCCTTATCTTCTTCTTTCCACCCATATCATGGTATGTTCTCAATCAACAAGTTTATCAGAACCACACTTCTCCTTCCTCAAGTTAACATATTTACTAGAAATTAATATGATATTAGATTTCTTAAGTAGTAAATTGCTGGATTAAGTATTTTCCTGACCCAGAGGTGGGGCAACTGAGAGGGATTTTAAAATATTTTATTCTATTTTCAGTCTCATGAGAAGGGTGAGATGTTATAATTCATGCTATTACCATCAGAAGCCAACTATTTCCTAATTACAATACAATAAAAGTGTTAAATAATAATAGTAAATAAATAGTAGTAATAAATAAATAGTAATATATATATTATAGATATAGTAATATTACTATAAATAGTAATAATAATAATAATAGTGAGTATAAGGCCTTTTACCTTCAGGCTTTGCACATGCCAGGGGAAATGCTGGTTCCAAATGCCTGGCTCTAGGAGTGGTTAGAAATCAGCAGATATGCACCAAAATCACTTCATTCCCAGCCAAAGCCAGCCCAGGCTGCTCCTGGGAAGGCCCACGCAGCACACCAGGAAGGAGCTCTGCTGTTCCTGCTGAGTGCTGCCTCCATCTGTGCCCTCCTCCCCACAGCCACCCTGCAGTGCCATGCACTTGGGGGAGGCTCTGCAGCCAGCCCAGGCTCTGGGCAGAGCCAAAGGATGCAGCTCTCCTGGGGCTCAGCATCCTTTCATCGCCTAAGAGGATGAGTGAGTCCATCCAGGAGGGATTTGCACAGCCAAGAACTGATGAAACAGTGTCTGAACATGCCTCCTAGACTGTGAGACCAACTGGAAAATATTTACCCAGATCTTGTTTTTTCTTTTCTTTTTAAATCCCACTTCCCTCTTCAAGCTGCCATAAAAACAACTGCTCCTCTTTTGGGAGTTAAGCATTTCCTGAAGAAGGGAACCATTCTGCCATTCTGGCACAGAGATGAAGCAAAACACAAGGAGCCAGGCAAGCATTAGAAGGAAGACAAACTTTTAAAAAAGTTGATAATCTCCAAGTATTTCAGAGGAAAGTGGAAATACTTTTAATTGAGTGAGGCGGTGGAAGTAGAGGACTTGGCTTTGTGGACAGAAGAGGGATGGAATGTGCACCCCTGGGTTCTCCTGGTCCAAGTCCAAAGTGTGCCTCTCCCACTGTGTATTTCACAACACAGAAAAGGTCTCTTGGGTTTCAGTCATTGTGACAAGAATTTCTGTCCAAACAGACATTTCCTGGGGCACTTTTGATCAAGCTTTTCAGTGTAAAGCTGTTTGCATACTTTGGAGAAACCCCATGTCTCACACCATCCTGTGGTTAGGTTTACCACAGATCTCAGCTGCATGAGGATTACCAAGTTCTGCTTCTTGAGGAAAACATCCCTTTACTTGGATTTTTCCTTGAACAGCAAACAGGACTATAGGCATGGAAAGACACCCTCTGCCCACCCAAGCACCAAAACAGTCAGTGGACAATTCAGTGACCCTCACTGAATTAAACTAGTGTGGTTTTTGGAAGAACACGAGATTTGATCCCTTCTGAGCATCTAGATTGTGGTTGAAGAACATAACAGATGGACATTTCTCACCCCTTTTGTCCTCAAGTCACCTCCCACAGACCTCAGCTATAAACCTCAGGAGCTCACAAGTTTTCCCACTGTTTTAGCAGGACTCAGCCTGCAGCCTTGCACAGGGCAGGAGCCTCTGCCCAGCAGCTCCAGCTAATGATGGCACAGGCAGCACTTTAAGGAAAAATAAAACCAGTGGAGAGCAATTAGTTGTCCTCTGACTGTATATCCCACACAGCTGCACCTCTTACAGGGTGAGCTAGCTCTGTTAAACACAAGCTGTCATCCACTGAAGGATCAGAGATAGAATGTTTGTGATGGCAAAGGGTAAAAAGAAACCCCATGGAGGTGTTTGTCCATCCCACCAAAAGCTCTGTTTGCCTGTGAGGTGGCCCAAGCAGGACCTGGCTGTTGCAAGTGATGTTATGGGTGACTTCATCAAACTTATTTCCCCAAACACCTTCTCAGCTACAGTTTCCTCCCTCGAGAGAGTTTGACTTTTAATCTAGAGACCCATTGTTTTTCTCTCAGTTCCTGAATTGTGTGTGACTCCCTTTGCAAAACCAGTTTTGGCAGGCTCAGACAGAGGTTTGGCCCACCCAAAAAAGAACCAAAAGGATCTGCCACTGTCCCATAACTGACATGAAGTATTTACCAAGTGGTGCCTTCTCACAAATCGTCCTTTTCCTATGTTTACTTTACACACTACTAAAAAGCAAAGCATCCCAACAACACAGAAACTGGCAATACTTGTGAATTATGAGAGAACCATTTGGTATCAAAGAGCACCAGAACAGAGGAAAGAAGGATGCTCAGCCCTGCATACACTGTGGCATTTTGATCCAAATGCTCATATCACATAGAATAACTTCCCAGAAGGTCTCACCAACAGTGAGAGCCTGTAGTAGAAACCTTTGTTCCTAATCTGAATAAATACAGAGAAAAAACCAAACTAACTCCTTAATTAGAAGACTTCAACAGAAAAGAAAAAGAGGAAAAGTAGTTCTGTTACTTTCTGTTACCCCCACCATGTGTTCCACACAATCCATTAAGCATCATCAACCCAAATTTCTACTGAAAAAGGTCCTGGAGAAATGAACCAGTGACTGTAAATAAATAGGCTTGTACAGATATAGTCCTTCTTAGTTATTTCTTGGTTTTGGTCATTTGTTTTTGTTTTAAAGCAAGGTGGCAGCTTCCAATGACAAACACAAACCTGTCAGGGACATTTCACTGTGACTGAAAGACTGAACACCCCTGCAGACATAGGATATTCTTCTTTCACTACTACTACTGAATTTTTTGGAATATTGATGACTTGTCCAGCAGCCTAAACCATATCCAGATGTTATCAGGTTTTTAATATGATAATCTGGAGGACTCTGAAAGGTGCTGAGGTTTTGGGAAGCAAGAAAGTTTAAATTTGTAATAAAACCCAAAATAAAGTTTGTGGATTTTTTTCCAGGCATCATCAGTTACTGGGTTCAAGCTGGGTAGCCCACTAAAAAGTTTCAGAAAAGCCTGAGAAAAAAGGCAAGCTTATCCTCTTTTTCCCCCACTTTTTTCCCCCACCCTGCCTTAAGAGTGTTATCAGCAGGGTAGATTGAAATGAAATCTCAGACTGGCATCTTGCTGACCTCAATCCCAGCTGGCTAAACCCTCACAACACGCCTGTCCTTGGCATCTACCAGAGAGCAGACACCAATCCAGCTGCTTGATTACGAAATGGAGAATATGGTATGAGGAACTAGATCCACTCCACTGTCTGGAACTCTGTTTAAAAGACAGCTTAATTTCTCTCTCTCCCTGGTACTTCATTGACAGGAGCAAGCTTGATATCTCAATCAGGGCAGCACAACACCACAGAGGATAATGTGCCTGCAGGACTGCATATACCACACACTTGAGAAGGAAATGCTACTGCTACCAGCAGGTGATGCTTGTTTTAAAGGGATCTCTGAGTTTTAAAGCACACACTGAAACATCTCATACCACTTCCTTATCAGGAAAGGACCTTTTTTCAGTTGCTTTTAAAGTTAAGACAGAACATCAGAGCATCACTGTCAATTAATAATGACAAGTTACAAAACAGTTCAAACAACTCTCGTGTGTCTCGCTACCCTCACCTGTTACACAAACAGAACCAAACAAAAGTGAGCTCATTACCTGGACTCAAAACAATTGCATTGTCCTCTGTCTTGCCTTCAGTTATGGGCTCCCCTTTGCGGCTCATGATCTTTGCCAAGCCACTTGAGAGGGAGGAGAAGATGCCCTGGATGAAGTAGCCCTGGGGCTCGGCTGGCAGGGACGGCGGCGCGGCCCCACTGCCGTGGGGCTCGGACAGCGAGCGGCTGAAGGGCACCCGCAGAGGCCTGCTCCTCGTTGGGAAGGGTGCCTCAGGTGGGTCCTCCTGGAGATTGTCAGCACTGGCAGCATCCATGCTTGCAGAACTTTTACCAAGACTTGGGTCACTGCATTCCCCTTTCAAACTGGAGGAATCTGCTCTTCTGCTCGCCCTCCAGGGAGGCCAAGGATGCATTTGCCACCTGTACGCTCCAAGAGGTTTCTCTGAGTCAAAACTCATCTGTTTATTCAACTTCTTGCTTTTCATTCGGTGGTACCAGTGATAGTCCTTCAAGGCAGCTGTGCCAGCTTCTTGTTCTGACAAAGATCTTCTGAAGGTCCTGGGAGAAAGACTGTGATGCTTTTTGAAAGCGCTCATTTTCCACCCTTTGGATTTGACACTTCACTTACACTCCTCATTGCTTAGTAGTCACGTAGCTGTAGTTCCTCACTCACCATTTTACATCCCCAGTGACTTGTTCATGGCTGTGAACTGCAGAACAGCAGAGGCTCTTCCTGAAGACCTTGAGCACCAATCCCAGAACCAGGTATTCCTACATCTCCACAAGAAGGATGTGCCCTCACCTGTAGCACACCAACTTCTAACAGCACACGAAGCTTTGCTGAGCGTGCTATTGCTTCCTGGGCTGTCACATTTCTGCACCAAGCTCTCAGGAAATGACTAAAAGAACCCAGAAATGAAAACCCACAGTGCTGTTCTGTACCAATCACACTTCACTTTTTTCAGTCTACATTAAAGATTTGGTTAAAAAAAAAAAAAAGGAATGCAAAAGTACTTTGCTCTAGAGACACAGCGACGTCTCAGAAAAGCGTTGAAAAATTGCAGTACTCAACTGAGAGTCATGCACACGTTCTTCGGTTAAGTAGCAAAGTATATTAATATATATATAGTTAAGTATAAAGTTTCTCTTTACCACAGGTATGTTGTATCACTTAAGAGTACCTTAGAGCTGCCTTTTGGAGAAAAGCAATACAGACAGATTTATCAGAATCGAGACAGATTTATCAGAATTGTGCTGGAAGCACGAGACAGGAAAGCAAAGAGGAGGAATGAAGGAAGGAGAACAAACCCTGCAACTCAATGCAGTGAGAGTGTAAATACACTGAAGGGAAATAAGTAAAGAGGAGGAGAGAAGGGTGGGTGGGACTTCACCAAACACAGACCAAAGGGAAGGGTTTGAGACATGGCAAACAGAACAGGGCAGCAGGAAGATAGTCCTTTTTCTCCTCCCCCTTTCTTCCCTTTTTAAACAGCAGAATAGGGGATTATTTTTTATAAATCTAGTTGCAATAAATGAGATGGAAAAAATAGTCCTATCTGCTTAACCAAGAGGAAAAACCCCTCTTGCACTACAATTTAAGAAACAGCTGACCGTTCTAAAATCTCATAAAGAAAATATCCGCTGGTGAACGAAGAGCACGCTTGCCAAGTTTTAGACCAGAACACTTAAATCTCAAGTCTACACAAATCCCTGAAAATAGGGGGTTTATAATGGAAATGCTGACACACCCTTGGCAATAAAGGAACAATGAAAACAACTCCTCTGGTTAAATAAAATGATAACCTGGTCTGGCAGACCAATAAAGCTTAACTGACCCATTATGGGATCCTTCCTTTAAGCTAGGCTGCATTCATCAGCCAAAGTACATTTCTAACAGCTGCAGATGCAAAAACTTCCTTACTTATGTGTATATGTGGGAAAGGGTACCACTGCTCCCTAGAACAGAGAGGGAGTTACCCTAAAACCTCCTTCAAATCAAAAAATAATTTCTCTACTCAGTAGCAAGTTAGATTTTTCAATTATAAACCACAGAAGCAACTAAAAATGAGCATGTTTATGAAGTCACAACAAATAACCCCAGAAACAGAAACAGCTCAGACACTGCAATGCACTTTCTGCATCAAATAATGATGCTGCCTCTTGTGCTTTGTCAACATCACACTGCTCAGAATGTAAGTCTGGAATGCCAAAATGTACCTATACCACATCTCTGCTACAAATTTCCATCCAAAGCAATCAAAGCACAAGGAGTGAACACAAAGATACTCCCATGAAAATGAGACATGGACTTCACCAGAAGATAGTTAGCTGGCTTTTGTCTTCTGCTTCTTCATCCCAAGGGTTGCTGATCACCTTTGGTTGCTGCCCATCTGGCCCCATGGACTCACACAGGTTCTTCAAAGTAACTCCTGCCTTGACCTTCATCTATTGCTGGTAGCTGTTCTCCTCCCTGATCCCTTCCACCAAGCACAGAGGCCACAGGTGTCCATGTTTTCAAGACTGAGGCAAATCCAGAAGCACTGAGAACCCCAGAGTTTTTTTGGGTCTGCTGTTACTGAGTCCCCAACCCCTTGCAGCAATGGGTCCCCCCCTTCTCCTTGTTGAGCCTTTTGCTGCTCATGTGGCAGCAGTGCCTTGGCCAGAATGAGGCAGGCTGGTAAAGCAGGCTTTGTGGAGCAGCAGGAGCATGAATAAATCTGACAGATGATGATGTGGTTGGCTCCAGTGGCACAAGCCATAATCAGCAGGGAAAGCTGAGAATGTGAGGCAGGTTTCTGGTCATCCCTGCAAGCTGGGTTTGCACAAGTTTCCACTAACACATTGACATCTCCTTCTGGGCTGGGAGCACAGAAGGGCAGGAGAGGACAGAAACCACAGACAGGCGGTGCAGGAGCTGAAGCCCTCCTGGGGTTGCTTGCTGGGGATTTTTAGTGTGCTTTGTAACTGCTGCTGATCTCTGCCAGGCTGGGCACCCACACAGGCTCCTGAAACAGCCCTTGGAGAGCCCTTACCTGCCCTATCAGAGCACTTGGTACCCCTGAGGAATGACTCAGCTTGGATAACACGAGCCCAGCAGCACCAGGGCAGGGATTTAGCACAAGAGCACTCTGCAGAACTTCAGGCAAGGCACCGGTCTCTGCAGGAGGACAGAGATGATCTCCAGGATTCTCCCCTCCTTTTCCACCACCATCCTGTGGACACCTGACTGTACAGAAAGATCTCTCTATCCCCTTCCCAATAGAGCTGGCATTGCATTGATCACTGACTCACACAGACCACCCATTTCAGCCAGGGAACTCACAGAAAGATTACCCACGTCTCAAGTTACAGCACAAAGCAACATGCAAAACCAGTAATGGGTTAACTGCTACTCAAAACTATTTTTATTGGTGTGGCCAGGGGCTGGACCACAGCTCTGTACAGACCTAACAATACAGAAAAAGGCTTCAATAAGCACTCTACATGAAGCCCAAAACATCAAAGTTACAGTTTAGTTTAGGTTTGAATAATATTCAGAAGGCTTTTTACTTTTTTTTCCTTCTGGTTTCACTTTTTATTTCATGTTACCACTGCTCAGAAGAACACATTTTGTGATCAAAGGAACGTTATCCTTGGCCTAGCTGAGGTTTCAGAGTGTACTCTAGAGAGGGTAAAAGGGTCTTTCTCAAAGTACTTCTAAAAAGGCAGACAAGGTTTACATGTTTATTAACACAAAAACACTGACAGACAAGTTTGCTTAGTCTACCAATAAGACAATTCTTTAAAACAGCTAACTCAAAAATTTTAGCCTGGGCTTCGAGTCAAACTGATCTCTCCCTCCCTTACACACAGCAGCAGCAGCAATGATGATGTTCAAAAAACCCCTTTGTCTACACTAATTCAGTGGCACTGAGTTAAAATTTGTCTCAAGTGGCTCCAGCATTTCTGGTGTCCACAGAACATGCAGTGAGTAATCCAGAAGGCAGAACTTTCTCCTTGATCTCCAGGCCAGTTACTCAGGCTCCAGCCCAGTCCTTCCATGCAGACTGGAAGCATTTCCCAGCCTCAGTATCACAAAGAAATCAGCTTACAGCAGAGACTGCCACTGCATTAGTGATGTGAGATCCCAGCCATACTGAGCCTCCCACGCAGCTGTCAGCAGGTAAAATAATGTCAGGGGAAGAAATGAGTTTGTCAATTAAGTTGAGAAAATTTGAAATATTTTTACTCTTGTTTTTAATACCAACTGCCTACAAACGTGATCCTCCACCAGCATATTTTTCTCAGTTTTCTTTTTTTTTTGGTAGTGTTTGCAGTTCATTGTGCCAAATCATTCATTTAGCTTTTCAGAAAATTACTATTTTCTTCCTAACAATCCAGTCACTTAATCATCACATTTGACATGTTTAACAGCATTATATTTCACTACTCCTAGATATTTAAGTAATTTATGCACAAAATGCAGATTTGCTGTGTTGGAATGTAACTGTATTTCAGCTTTAAGATTGTATTGGGAAAACAATCTTTCTTAACTTTATAACATTTCACAGAAAATATACACAAGCAGCCTTACATTTGCACCAAGCATATGAAGATAAATCTTTGCCAAGGGCCTCCTGTGTGGGAATTCTATTCTCCATCATTCAGCTCTCCAGAAAAAACTACCCAGGTCTACTGCAAGGAGCTTCAGCAATTTCTCAGAGTATGTTGTTTAATAAATACTACCAGCCAATTAAAAAAGTAAAAGAGCAATACCACAGAAAACCCCAAGTGCACCATTGCCAAGCAGCTGGAAGAAGGAGAACCTGGCTCTGATGTTACAAATTAATCTTTAATGCTTGCTTGCTCTCTGGAAGCTGTCTAGTGCTTGAGTAAAGGCACTACAAAGTGTAAAATTGGAGTTCATAGCTTATATTGTAAAAAAAGGATGAACTACAATCTCCCATGACCGAACTGCTCCTTTCTAAATTAGTTTTGGACCAAACAAACTTACCAGCTTCTCATTTTTTACCAAGACATGGAGGGGAAAAGGGGAAAGAGAGTTAAAAGAGAAAAAAAACAAAACCAAAATGCCACACAACCAACATCCATGATAAACCCTGAACATTTATTCACCACACTTGCTTTCAACCAAATCCTCTCTTTTAATTGAGAAAAATCAGCAGG